AAAAAAAACAACAAAATATGACTTGAAGAGATTTGTTTTATTAACTGTCAATCTTTTAGGATATATTTAAGAATAATATATTCATTCTATAGGTCAACTTTTTTTATTGAAATTGTTAAGTATTTTAAAAAAAAAATAAATTTGTGTTAAAGGTACACCATATGTTCGTGTTAATCCTGAAAAAATAAAAGGAATTGTTTTAACAAATAAATATGATTCATCTCCAGGTAATTAAATCAATAAATTAATTTATTATTTAAATAATTATTTAAACAAACTAAGGTTTTAAAAAACCTGATGATGCAAGTTTTAAAATAGCAAATCATCTTCTGGATTTTATTCTTGATGAAGTTGAACATGGAAGTAAGTTTATTGAGAATATTTTTTTTCTTTCTATTTATAATAAATAAATAAAATTAAAAGGAATTCCAAAAACATTACTTCCATTTCAATCGGGTGTTGGAAATGTTGCCAATGCTGTTTTAGCTTGTATAGGTAAATGAATATATTTGTTTATTTAAATCTCATTTAATTTGTTAATTAGCTCAAGATAATCGTTTTAAATCTATTGAAATGTATACAGAAGTAATTCAAGATTCAATATTTGACTTAATTGATAGTGATAAACTTCGTTTTGCATCAACAACAGCATTAACTTTTTCATCAGAAGGACAAAAAAGATTTCATAGAGATTTATATGAACTTAAATCAAAATTTATTTTACGTTCTATGGAAATATCAAATAATCCTGAAGTTATTCGTCGAATAGGTCTTATTATAATGAATACAGCATTAGAAGCTGATATTTATGGAAATATTAATTCAACACATGTACTTGGTTCTTCTATGATGAATGGAATTGGTGGTAGTGGAAATTTTACTAGAAATGCTGTAATTATTTTCTGTTTTTTTTTCTAATTTATTTGAAATATTCGGTGTTTTTTTTGTTAAAATTAGTATATATCAATATTTATGACTCCATCATTAGCGAAAGATGGAAAAATTTCATCATTTGTTCCAATGGTATCACATGTTGATCATAATGAACATTCAGTTCAAATAATGGTTAATGAACAAGGTTTAGCTGATTTACGTGCTAAAGCTCCAAAACAACGAGCTGAATTAATTATTGAAAAATGTGTTCATCCTATCTATAAAGATCTATTAAGAGATTATTTTCGACACCCATGGCGTAAAATATCTAAGGAAACGCACTGTGTAACGCGTTTCCAAGATTGGGGCATGCGTTTCGCAGCGTTTCTTCGAGACGGAATGCGTTTCACAGTATTTTTACTTATATAGAACGCGTTTTGCTGCCTTGAGTTTTTGAAACGATACGAAACGCTTCTTTTTGCGATTACGTTTCGAAGCGTTTCCCAAGTGAAACGCTGTTAAACTCATTAAGTCGACAAGAAAAGCATTGTACAGAGTCACAACTCGGAGAAAATGCGAAACAGGTCCTTTTAAAATGCATTTGCATCGGTTACGCTTCGAATGATGCAAAACTGATCTCTTTTGTTAGAGCATCTCGCACCAATTCATCTTCAAAAAGCATGTGAGTTAAGAAAAGTCAACTCTGATATGATTTTGGAAATTATGCGAAATGGTTTTACAAAAAATTTGCTGATTGCATTGTTTTTGATCCTCAAGATGGCGGCGCAGGTCTTCCTTAGCCAAGGTCAGAATTAAGTTCTTCTAAAACTTTAACGAATTACGTCGTTTTCTAAGACTGTTTCGAAGTTAGGCTAGTATTGAACATCAGAGTGTATTCTACAGTTATCTTCTGTTAGAAAACTCATTTCACTACATTTCCATTCAAAGAAAACGCGTTTCGTACCATTGAATCTAGAATTCTGTAAAATGTTGAAGAATTTGAAGAAATTCAGTAAAGACTGATACAAAAATAATCCGTAGGACAGCTCAATGTTGTTGTGTGAAAAAAGTATTTTCGGATAATTTACAATTTATAATAATAATTATTGTTAATTTATGTATGGACTGCGTTATAGTAACTGATTATATACTCTCCGAAACATGACTAGAATATCACTTTCGTTCGTACACTATCGATGCATGTAAGTGCGGCTTGTTGATAAAAGAGGTTCGAATTACAGAAAAAATATTTTTGTAGTTATGATTGCACTTGGATTTACTGATCATGGATTTACATTAACAAAGAAACATTCAATTCAACAAAAACTTTGCAAATTTTGCAAAATTAAGATTACAGTTCTTTTGAATTTAAATTTACGAAATTTAATCTTTTTAAAATTTTTAATTCAATTTATATGGAATTAAATTCATTTTAATTGGGTATTTAAACTTTAAAAAATAAAGTTTTACAAATTTTAATTTCTAAAAGTTAAATTTAAAATAAATTGACGGAAAATGACACTCTTCCTTGGATAAAAGCAGCAAAAAGAATACCGTTTTTCATCGACTCATCCAGACGTGAAACAAAATTTATTCGAATCATAAATTTGTACAAGACATCTAAATAAGAATAGAGCAAGCACTTATATCATTTGACTATTTTAGTTGAACGGTTTGTACACATATCTTCTACTCTTATGTTCTCCTGTTCGAATCCACCTCTTAACTTTATCGAAACTAATGTAAGTTAACTGTATAATTCTATGAATTAATGTGAACCAGTATATAGATCGCACCTGCAAGTTGAGTTCTACGAAGTACTTGATGGGTTTTGTTTTTTTCTATCCTTCAAAGTATGCAATACCACAGATTCAGAAACACTGCGAAATGATTTTAAGAAAAAATCGTTTCGCAACGTTTATTTTAGCAAATGTGAAACGCGTTAAACCGGCCAGCATTAACGCGTTTTGCAGCTATGAAAAAACGCATTTCAGAACGCGTTTTTTTGGCAAAAATTTACGCCATGGGCATGCTCAACGTGTTTCATTTGGTCACCATACACCACATGATCTAAAACAAGCTCATTCATGACATATTAGATTATAAGAAACTGGCTCAATGCATCCTGATCATCGAGCAAAAAAGGAAGCAACAAGTAAAGATACAGAAAAAGCAGCACAGAAACTTGATCAAACAGCAGCACCAAAGAAATAACTATGTATTGAAATTATTCTAGTCAATTATTATTTTAGTGTTATTTTAGACGTATTATTAAAATATAGTTGATTATCTTTTTTTCCTTCATTTTTACGTAAAACTAACAGCTCTCAACAAGATGTCAATTGAATGCGTTCAACTTTATTTAATAAATATAATTTGATTAATTCAGCATTTTATTTTCTTCTTTTCAATTCATCTAAGTCATTATCAAATCGATTTAACATTCTTTTTTGTATTAACTAATTTTAATAGATGTTTAAAAAATGATACTAACAATCAGTTAATATAGGCTATCCAAAAATTATACAATATCCACATAAATTCCTACAATAAGATTTATTTCATTCGAAGAAACTAATTATATTGATCTGTTGATTATCTATTAACATGAACATGATTGTTTATTATTCATTGCTATTCTCAACTCTTTTTTTTTTGTCTATTATTCCATAAATGATAATATGATAGAAATGAAAAAAAACCCTCTTTCAAAATAAAAGAACCTTCCTTATTTTTCTTTTTCAATCTCATTATGATCGATTCCACGTAAGGGACGAACAATCCCTGTAGGAGGTCTTCAATTGATATTCTCCGATTCCGCTCATTTTAACATAGAGCTGTGAGCAAAAAAACTTGTGCAAATTTTCTTTTTATCTTATGACCTTCTTCCTGTGGCTTGAAGCAACTATAAGCGTTGTTTTGTCTAGGGTTGACTCTTCTATAGTTATACTAGGTAATGACTAATGGATGGTACGAAAATATTTCGATAGAAATAAAATCATTATATCCGTCAGATGGTTCAATCGTTTCTATTTATTTTTCAATAAAAAATCTAGCACAACAAAGTGAACAGAATCGAAAAAGGTCGTTGGTCTTCAATTTTTCGAAGTTTCTTACGAACTTCTATCATCATTGTCTGGACGATTTTAAGATCAACGTTTTTTAGTTGTTGTTTGATCCTGTTGATGAGCTGTTGTTCCATTGTAGTCACCCAAGGTACATTGGCCGAATTCACCCATTTTGGCACAAAACGGATATTTTGTTGATTCAGCCATTCAGTTTGTGGTTTTTGCATAATAAGAACTGGCTAGATCAGGCCAAAATATATAGTTGTCATCTGCATGGTATCTTCTAATAAATGCCAATAATTTGGGCAAACATTTTTGAACATTTAAGTTACTATCAATAGCTGGACCTTTTGTGGCGTCGATGTATTGGACAGAAATACCTTTGCTAGACAATGCAAGCCACACTAACACTATGGATCCAAATTTTTGTTGTGATATAAATTTCACATAACATGGATGTAACGACAAAATGAGAGAGATGTCATGACAAACTAGAGGAGTAGCTTACCGCCACCTTCGGTAATGATGTTTATTAGCTACTTTACATCTCCAGAATGTGTCTATTGCACATTCAACACACGCTTATATATAATACAGAAGCAAAGGGAGAGGGACGACATAGAGAGAACAATATAGAGAGAAAGAGG